AAGTGTGGGAAATTGGCCCTGTTTTGCCCCCAGGGCTCCGGACCCGGTGGACACTTAGGTGTCGCTGAGGCTTTGGAGGAGGAAAAACTTCTTCCCAATAGGACTGCCTAGATGGGGGGGATCAGGGAAGGCCCTTCTTGGCCCCCCATTCCATGGTTTCCACCCTCATGGCCTGGTTCTGCCTGGTGATGTTTTGGTGCATAAACAGCCAATGTGTAGATGCTTAATTGGGTAGATTTTTGGTCACATGCCCAGAGTGAAGTTGATGATCTCTGCCAGGGTCAGGAAGGAATTTTCCTCCTCTGGCAAACTGGCCAAGCCTGGGTGGTTTGCTCCTTCCCCTCTCTCTGGAAGGCTGAGCAGAGGTGCCTGGTTGATCAGGCCATGGGCACCACACCTGTGACTGCTGCCTCGGACTCGTGTCGGGGCAAGAAGCCCACAGGCCTGTCCCTCTGACTGTGCGGACCCCCCTTTGCACACCTGGTGAGTGAGCCGACTCTCAGAGGGGTTTGAAGCTGGTGGAGGCATCGGGGAGCCGAGCTTCTCTATCACTTTCTCATTCCAACAGGTCCCTACAGCCAGCCTTTCTCACGCGTGGAAGGGAACCCACCTGATTCCCTTCCCTTGTGTGGATTGTGATTGAGCCTTTCCTACTTACTAGGCAGCTACAGTGGTGGCTGGGGGAAACAGATTCCAACAGCTGTGGCAGTGTGGATGGGCAGTGAGTGAGGGTTCGAAGTGCTTAAGGGACCAGGCTAGCCCAGGCAAAGAATGACCAGAGCCCACTGCTGAAGGTAGTGGACATGGGAGGGAAGGGAGAAGAGGAAATCGGGGGGCCTTTGCAGAGCTAAAAGTTTAATCTCCATTCGTAGTGGTTGGATTTGTCTCCAATTCAGTGAGCTTGCTTGGCCGCAAGATCCAGTATAACGGACATATATGCGTGTGTGCGTGCTCGTGTTTGGATTCATTCAGGCAGGTGCCTGGAGAAAATCATGGAGCCGGGGCACATCTCAGAGTCCCCCCATCAGCGTGGTCATTTAGTAAATGAAGAGCGGAGGCACAAAAGGCAGAATCATGACTCCCAGTCAGTGCTCTTTCCATGATGACAAACCAGCCAGCCCCTCAAAATACAAAAACATGTGCCTAGGACAGCAGGCCTAGGACCCTCCCTGGGTCTCCTTTCCTGTCCTGCTACTGATTCGAGGTCTATATAACCCAGTGTTTCTCAACCATTGTTTCATTGTCGCTCCCAACTAAGGAGGCTTTTTAGATAATTTTGTCATAGTCACTACCCCCACATCGATGTACTCACTGCATATCATTTATGTACTGTGGCCCTTTAGACGGTCATGAGACATAATAATGTCTAAGTTTTTTTTGACCCCCAAGAACCAATTTTTCCCCTCTAACGTCAATGTCACCCCCATTGGGAACGCACGGTCAAACTTCAAGCCTGGGCCTACATATTGCTGGACCTCAATGTACTGGCTGAGAAATGGGTCCCCAAACAGCTGGTTCTTTCCCCCCGCACCCTCACCCTGTTCCACCTACTTTAAAGAACTCTTAAGAACTAAAATGTTCAATTATTGCAAGGACTTTCAAGGGCCTAGGAAGCTAAGCTACTGAATACAAAGCAGCCATTATTCCTGAACTCTCACACCTAGCGCATGCTGGCTAAGTGGCCAAGGTCTTTTGTGGAAAGCCCAGAGTTAATAATACGCTCTCCAACTCTAATAGCAGAAAATAAAAAATAAATCTGCTTTTATAAAAGACATTTTTTTTCAAGAAGCAAGAAATAATTACAGAAAAAAAAATAGCCCTTGGTACACCTTTAAGAAAACTCAATGGATATAATTCGTCATAGAAGAGATTACCAAAGGAAATCAGATCCGGTGCTATGTACAGCAAGTGAGTAGGTTGCTGTAAAGAGGAAAAGAAATCCTTAAAAGAGGTAAATATCCTATTGATCCGAAATATTCCTAATGTTTGATAATCAAATTCAATTTACCAAATGACTTTTGAGAGCTATTTAGGTCAGGTGTAAGTGAGGAAGTGCTCACTCCTGCTATTGTGTTTTTCACCTGGAGGATTTCTAATTGATGGGGAAGACCTGGGGACAGTTCTATTTTCTTCCATTTGGACTACACCCCTCCTTTCTCCAAACACCCCCATGAAGGTCATGTCAGAGGTCGGCCATCTTCTTCCTCAGTTTTCTGAGACTTTACCTTTAGCCCTCACTTATGGGAGCTTCTCTGAGGTCAAATCCACAATGCAGAAGGGGGGCTTTGGGCTCCAGGGGCCCTCCCCTCCCTCATAACCTCCCACCCCCATCCCTCTTCATCCTACCTCCTGCTCAGGATATAAAACCAGCCAATCCGTGGGAAAATCAGAGTCCAAACTCAGGCAGCCTTGACCTCTGTTTGATATGGCTCCCAGGGGGAGATCCATGAACATGATAATCCAGCGGGCAGGTTAACCCTCTCTGGGAACCAGAAAGGAGGCTTCCCAGTGGATCTGGTGACTCTCCAAAGACGGCCCAGAAAGGGTGCCAGAGTCTGAGAATTTGAACTCGGTTATTTCTCTGTAACTGGAGGGCGGTTCTTATGCACATTTGATGAAGATAATGATGGTAGATTTGCAAGCACCCCCAAAGAACTGGTCTTTGATTCTAGAATCACACAACCCCTGCCCTTCTCAGTACTGGGGTTCCATTTGATATGTAAGTGTGTTAGGGATATGTCTGTAGGCAGATGTGACTGTGAGTGTTTCTAGAAAAGGAAGCAGATGACCCAAAATTCGGAAAACTTAAGAACTCACTACAACATAATGTTGACACCCATTGACTGTATGACCTTGAGCGGGTTACGCAAATTCCCTGGGCCTTACTTGTCGCAACTATACAATGATGGGGTAAAGGGAAAGATTGGACTAACTCTGGACTTTCCAACACATGGTGCTCACACCACTCATGATAGAGGAAATAGATCTGGTCAGGGGTAGGCAAACTTTTATTTCAGGGGCCAAGTAGTTAGTATTTTAGGATATACAGGCCCAAAGGCAAAATGGATTATAGTAGGTGGGTATTTATATAACCGTTTACTATGTAACTATTTACAAATGTAAAATCATTTTCAGGTGTGGACCATTCAAACATAGGTGGTGGGCTGGATTGGGCCTGTAAGTTGTAGTTTGCTAACCTCTGATTTAGGTGATGCATGGACCAACAGTTTTTATTTAAATGCTATGTCTTTATTTTTCTGCATGTTAAAAGGAGACAGAATTTCCACCTATAATGGTGATATAAAGCTTTCCTTTTAAATAAATGTAGTTGTTTTAAAACAAAAAGGAAGTTGATTTTTTTTTTTTTTTAGCATGTTAAGTAAATTATCGGGATGGTAGGCAAATGACTAAAGTTTGCAAAACACTGAACTAGATGATTATTAAGCCCCCGGCCATCTGAAAATTCTATATGCTTAATATCCCAAGATCCAGAATCCAGTCTTTGGTCTGACATTTAACCTACCAGCTGTGTGACCTTGAGCTGCGGGGTCCCCTTTGCAAAATGGGGGTAGAAGCTCCCTATCTCATCAACATTATTGTGATAATCAGAAAAGAGAAGTTGGGCAAACAGATTTTTCTAATTTACCAAACATGAATTCTCTTTTTTTTTCTGAATTGTGGGAATATGGGAAGCAGCAAACTTGAAAGATGAGACCAGCATGGGCAGGAATGCACATGAATGAGGGCCCCGAGCCCATTGGGTTTTGCCCTCTTTCTAGCCTCAACCAGACACCTTCTCCCAAATCTTCCTCCTCGCCAGTGTATGCAGGGAGGAGAGCCCTGTGATTAGGAACATGACTTCTTAAGTGGATAAACCTGAGTTGTTATCCAAACTCCACCATCTGCCAACCAGGTGGTTTGGGGTATCCGACCTAAAATCTTAAGCATCCATCCTCATCACTAAAACAGAACCTGTCTCAGAGTTTGCTCCAAGGAGACCATGAATAATCAATATAAAGTGAAGTGCTCAGCACAGAACCCAAAGTGTAGTAGGTATATGTTCCAGTTATCACAGGTCCTCACTCTCTGAACCCAAACCATGGGACTAGATGTGCTGCAGAATTCAGAACTCCTCAGGTATTAGGAACGTTATACAGTATATATATACTGCAGGATACAGAATCCTCTTCTCTGGGTATTCCTTCTAAGAATCATATGTATTGTATGTATCATATGAATATCCATCAAATAGAATAAATAAAACTATAATTATAATTATAAAACTACAGAGCATAGTTATAATGTATATATGTATAATACATTGCTTATATACATATACGTGTGTGTGTGTGTATATATGTGTGTCTATATATATATATATATGTATGTTTAGTACATGGTTTATGTGCCTGAGTATAGATGTATGGATGTAATATATACATAACAGTATATAAAACTATATAACAATAATTTTGGATGGTTTTCATTTTATTTTGTTTTGCGTTTTGCTGGGAAATAAATTTGCAAACACACACACATACTTTCAATTTCAGAGCTTGTGGATTTCAGAATGTGGGTAAGGGTTTGGGGGTGTATTAACATACAGCAACACTTGCCCAGCCTTCAGAAGCATATGGTTAAACGTTACAAGCCAGAGTTCAGGGGTCAGATGTGAGCCAGTAGAAAAGTAAAGAAAGAGGCAGTATTGCGTCATAAGAGCCTCCTGTCAAGCCCTGAGCTTTGCCACTTACGGGCCATGTTACGTGGGCAACTGTCTCAACCCCACTGTCTAGGTTTTCTTGTACGTAAGACAGGGACAGATGTACAAACTTCTCGGGATGTGGCAAGGATTGAATAACATTGTGGCAAGCACGTAGAGAGGTACCTGGTTCCTAGGAGGCTGCGTGTTTGCTATTAAAAACCGACTGTACCCCGTGGGGGGCTCCTGCATTGTGGCCCTCGTCGGCTTCCTCACAGCCCTCTCCTGCCGTTGTAGGGTGATGTTGGACTCAGTGACACACAGTACCTTCCTGCCCAACACGTCCTTCTGTGACCCCCTGATGTCGTGGACTGATCTGTTCAGCAATGAAGAGTATTATCCTGCCTTTGAGCATCAGACAGGTGCGTAAATCCAGAGAAGCCCATCCGAGCTGGGAAGAGCTTGGGCAGGAGGTGGTGCTGGCCTCTAGGAGGCGGCAAGGCCATGCTGGGGGCCTGAAAATGCCAGCTTCCACCAGTGTTCAGGGCAGAAGACTGGAGGAGGTCTGGGAAACAGGCGGGGCAGCTTCTGCAGAGAGAAAAGTACCAGAATCCTCACCCCAACCTCTTCCCAGCTCTGTGGCCTTGGGGGACTCTACTAACATCTTCGAGCCTCGTTTTGCTAACAGAATCAATCTCTTGGAGTTATTATATTTAAGCAATGTAGTGGAAAGAAACCCTTAGCCTAGAGCCTAGCACGCTGTGATTGCTTGATCATCATGGTTTTAGCTAACATTTGCTGAATACTAGCTATGGTTCAGGCCCTGTGCCAAGCACCCATCTCATCCTTACAGCAGCCCTATGAGAAATGAACAATTATTATTTCCACTGTATGGATGAAGAAACTGAGGCACAGAGAGGTCAAGTGATTTGTCCAAGGTCTTATGGTTAATTAAGTTTCGTGCAAGTTGACTTGAGCACCTATATTCTTAAGTATCCTACATGGTCATCTTATAAATGATGCTACCCTGTGGTTATTGTTATTAATATTACTGTTTTTCTCTGAGCTTCTATTTCCTTATCCCTAAAGCAGGGATGATGAGAATCACTGTGAGGATTACGAGAGCCAAACTGCCTAAAATACATAGCTTGGCCCAAAGCAAGTGCTCGGTAAACATGAATCCCTACACTGTCCACCAGGCCTCCCTTCCCACCCTTCCTCCTCTCTCGGCCGGTTTTCTCCACCTAAAAAGGAAGCATGGGGCCCTGTGCAAATCCCATGCCAGAGGGGGGCCAGCTGAGCTTTGCCCCAGCATCTCTCTGAGGGCCTCTGTCCCCAGGTGCTGGGGTGACTGCACATCACAGCAAACCTGGCAGAGCGCTCACAGGGCGGGTGCACGCCCCGAGGCTGGTGATGCAAGTCCTAATCAAGCTGTCAGTCCTCACGGGGCCTTAACCCTGTGCCTCCGGGCTTGGCATGGTCCACACTCAGGGGCAGGAGGCAGGCGGGTCCAGGAGAGGCCAAGCCTCTGAGGCTGCTGCAAAATGTCTCCCACCAGAAGGAAGCCCCTGCCTCCAGGCCAGAGGCCAAGGCATCACAGACACACCTGAGGCACTTACCTCCATAATCCAGTCCTGCCCCTGCTCCTACCACCAACGCAGGAGCTCATACACGCACAGGATGTCTCTCCCCCTGTCTGGAGGGTCCTGAGTCATCCAGATACATATTCCAGTTCTCCTTTAGGCCTAAGAAACACTCTGATTCAGAGATAATGAAGAATGTCCTCTATTTCTGCCCCTCAATATTTGGTTGAGGCTAAGTTTGAAGGAGGAAAATGAAGGCTTTTGTGTCCCCCTTGTCTCCCACTTTGTCTGATGATGGCAGGGTCCAGAAAGAAGGTCCTTCTCTCCACACATGCATAACCCAGACCTGCCGTCCCGGGAGCCCCCTCTTCCTGCCCATTCTGCCAGGTGGCAGCTAGAGAGGTGGCAGGAGGGGATGGCCTGTCTGCCCGGGGAAGTGTTCCAGGCACTGGAGCAGTTTCTGTGGTCATCGAGAGCTCAGACTTTGAGGCGCATATCCTAAATGCGGTCTGGCTTTGAGATTTAATAACTGTAGCATTGTAACTTCTTGTGCCTTAGTTTTCTCATCTGCAAAATGGAGATGGCAGTAACGCCTACCTCGTAGAATGGTTATCAGGGCAGTTTGTGAATATGTGGGAAGCGTTTGGGACACAGTCAGGTGCAGGACAAGCACACATGGGCGTTTAAAAATGAAGGACTAATTTCAGTTTGGGAAGATGAAAAGGTCCTGGAGACGGGCAGAGGTGATGGTTAGCACAATCATATGAATGGACTTAATGCCACTAAACTCTACACTTAAAAAGAGTTAAAATGGTAAATTCTAGGTCTATTTTACCACAGTAAAACAAAAACAAAAACAACAAAAACGAAGGGTTAACAGAAGTGATCACCAGTAGGATTGCCAATGGGGCTGATACCTGACAGTCTCAGACATAAAGACACAGCTTTCTCCTGTCTGAGGCCTCTGCATTTCCAACAGTCTAATGAGAGGTTGGACCGGGTCATTGCTAAGACCCCTTCCAGAAGCTTCTCTGATTCCTGCATCACAGATGTAGCCCTCTTCTTCCACCACCCATTGAGAGAAGACCAAATCCCACCAAGGCATGAGGCCGATGAAAATAAAATATACTGCAGGAGTAACCCTCCCTGAGGGAGGAGCCCGACTTTTGACTTGCCACGTGGCTCTCTGGATTCCTGAAGGAGCTGAATGTCTCTGACCTCCTAAAGGTGGAGAGAAGTTGGATGTGCAAGGATAGTTGAGAGCTGCCTGGGCACTGGGTGGGCCCTGTAGGCCCTGGCCCTCCTCAGAGCACCCGCCTCTGTCTTTTCTATCCCGGAGAGGTGATGCTGCCATCCAAGTGTCTGCAGAGAGGGAGGCAGCAGGGGACTGCAAACTCCCCGTGGTCTGTGGCCAGTGTGACATCCCTCCAGCCCCACGCCTCCCAGTTAGTGGAAAAACAGCTCGGTCTCTCTTCCCTCTTCATTTCTCCTATTGAACAAAAGCAACAAGGGGCCCCATCTCATCCTTTCCAAGTCAGGATTTGACAGCTTAGATACTTTGAGACCAAAGGGAAAGAAAGGGAGAAAGAAATGATGTGCCCACTAGACAACCGATGTCTACAAGAGGGCAGGGAGGAATAATCAACTTAGTCAGGAAAACCAGGTGTTTTCACAACCTTTTCCAACGGCTGTAGCCGACAGCAGCCGAATCTGTGCCCGCCACGTGCTAACCACAAAGGATCGGACCTGCTCTTTGAAGCGGGCCTTCTGCGTGGCCTCCCCGCAAGGCTGGGGAGGGGATGCTCACAGACTGCAAAATACTCTAGAATTTCATTAACTCCCTGTGGGGCTTCCCTTCTGCTCTCTTAAAATAAAGAATTACCGACACTGGAAAACTTTATCAAAGTGTGCAAGGCGGGCCATCTGTACTTCACAAGCGTATGATACTTTTTAAAGATATTTCTCCACTCAAGTTCTGACAAGTCATGGAGTACCCCGGCCTCACACCTCGCTGCTGGCTCTCCGCCCTGAACGTGCACACACCCACACAGCCCTCCCGTTTGCCGAGGTGACCACGCCGACATGCGGTGCCCCCTCTGCTTTGGATTCTCGTTACTACTTTGTCTGCAGCAAAGGTTTCTAGATCGGGGCCATTCCAGGGGTTCCTGAGCGGTCCCTCAGGAACCTGGGGTGACGGTTGAGAAGGCCGGGCTCCAGCTGCCACTCTCCATCTCCACTGTCACGCAAGGCTCTTGCACCTTGAAGGCACGAAGGCCCAGCTGCAGGAGCTGGAGAACCCCTACATGACCTACTCCCAGCTCCGCCACTTCCTCAGAGGACCTGGTGGCGGGGGGGAGGGGGACCACAGGAGCACAGAGGAGAGACATCCTCGGTGCTCCACAAATATGTTAGCTGTTGCTACACCATGAGAAATTTTATTTAAAAGAGAACTTTATTTGAAAAAGTGCAAAATCTTTTGGGTATTAACATCCAGAAGATCAGGGAGAGAGGCATTTGGGTCCCACGTGGGCTTTTCTCAGCAAGATCCATGCACTGGGTATAGAAGTCTGAGAGCACATGCAAAAGAGTCTTAAGAATCTCTAAATGAAAACCAGATAAATAACATCATTGAAGAGCTTGAGGTGGGCCTGTGGCAGTGGTGACATCCCGGGAGCCCCCCCAGAGAGAGATCTCAGTGCTCACCACCAGCAGCCCACCCTGCACACATCTGAGCCTTCTGGGAAGCTGTGGCCTCGGGACCACTAGGGGCTTGGTGCTCCCTGCGCCTTCCCAACCCCACATGCCTCAGGCCATAGCTCTTTGCTGATGCCCACCAACCCTTCTAGTCTCTTCTCCATCCAGTTTCTTACACTACTCCGGGCTTCCCTCCCATTCCACCATCTCATGGTCTAAATCATTCCACAGGCTTGGAAGGAAGGCCAAGAAGGGCTATTAGATGGAGCTCGACCATCCCTGGGAGGAAACCTGGAAACAATTTTTCATTTCAGGCTCCCCCCGCCTCTCATAAAGTCCTTCCTTTCAGTGACAAAGCCACAATTGATGGTGCCCCGTGCTACCCAGTCCACTCGCAGGCTCTCTTCAGTGTGGCCCCAGGCAAAAAACTTTCCCAACTCCCTATGCTAATAAATCACACTAATTACAGTCCAGGCTGTCTAACTTGGGCCTCCTGTGACCCAGACTCTCTGCCTCCCCACGCCTAGCCCTGGGCTTGCTTTGTTCTGCTTGTCCCTCAGCTAGATGGAGGCTGGGGGGCGGGGGGGAGGGGGGGAGGGGCGTGGCCTCATTTCTCTGAGAAAAAACACAGTCCCAAAATAGTAACAAATTACAGGTGACTTATATTGAAGGCTTACTGTCCTCCAGATAACTGGGCTAAGTTCTTTACATGTACCATTTTTTTCCTTTTCACAGCAAACTTCCTATGAGGTAGGCACTATTGTTCTTGTTTTGCAGAAGGAAGCTGAGGTCCAGGGAGGTTAGGAAACTCCGCTAGGGTTGCACAGCTAATACGATGAAGAGCCAGGACTGCAAATCAGGGAGGTCCATTCCCCAGCCCATATTCAGTTAACTCCACACAATCCTCACCTCCCTTCCTGGTCCCTTCCTGCAGGTCCCTTGCTCTTCAGGTCATTCGATGGAACTGTAGAATGGAGGATGGGACAAGAGTCTGATTGAATTCCGGGAGCTGGCAGGTTCCTTTAGCTTCACAGAGTTTCTCACTGAGGCTCCCCAATCAGCGGAGGAGAAAGACCAAGTTCTCCTGCAGAGGGTCTGGGGACCGAACTCAGAGCTCTAAGCTCAAATTATTTTCACAGTCTCCA